TAGTTAAATTATCCAAATCGGCCTAGTAAATCTAAAATTATTTAATATTAAATATTATATATAATTTTAATTATACGTTTTAATAAACATGAAATCTAATTAGCTAGTAGGTGAGGATAGGGGTGGGTTCAAATGATTTATTAGTAAACCCTAATTAGCTAATTTCTAGAAGCCCCCTAATCTATTAATTATAATTCTAGTTAAAATTAGTAGTTAAATAATTTAAAATTTGGCCAAATAATCAACAATTTTAACTAGAATTATAATTGATAGATTTTTATATTTATTAGATTATGCAGATTTGCTAATATGCTATTACTATTGGCCACTGCTTACAGCATCTTCAAAAATAGTATTCTATCATATAAAGTACTCCTTTCTTAGTACTTTACAAAATCAAATCAAATTTTGAATTTGAACCAAATATTTGAAATTATTTGTTCAAATTTTTAATTAAGAAAATTATTTAAATTACACTATATGTATATACACACATGATTGTTATATATAAATTTTGCCTATATATTACGATTTATGCATATCTATACAATCAGAGTTTTAAATGATAATGTAAGTGATCTTAAGGAAAAATAAATACAGGGGCGATTATAACAATAACCTGTCTTTTCTTGCAATCTAGAAGCTGTTTTTTTCTTGCAATCTAAAAGCTTTATTATTTCGTTCATAGAAATTATCTATTGTCAAGAACTTTATAAGAATACAAACGTATTATATTTGAAGAGTAAAAGACATCGAAAACGTTATTATATTGAATAAGTAAGACATTTCGCGAATATCATTTTAATGATTGATAATACAAGAACGATCATAATAATAATCGATCTTTCTCTTGCAACCTAAAAGAGTTTCTTTCTTCTTTCGCTCATAACAAACTATTCTGAGAAAACACGTTATACTTGACAAATAAGAAGTTTTGCGCATATAGTTATATTGGGTAAGTATACTTTCTTCGCTCAAAACTTAATTTATTACTTCAAGAAATATTTATATTTAGAAGTTTTGTGAATGTAGTTGTATTGAATAAGTAAGGAGTTTCATAAACACTGTTTTATATTAAATAATATAAGAATGGTCATAATAATAATTGAACTTTCTTTTGAACGTAGAAGTTTTTTTTACTTGTTTATAATATACAATTTCAGGAATTATTTGTTAAGAATCTCACAAGGCTATAAGCATGTTAAATTTGACAGGTAAAAAGTTTGTAAAGAAGTTGGGTGAACATCATTTTATGTTAGATAAGTAAGAATTTGATTAATATTATGACTAAACTAACCTTTTTTAATCTTCTTTTTTAGCAAATTTCCTTACTATATATTCAGAATATTCAAACGCAAATAACAATCTTTCCTTATTACAAGTATACTATACATTTTTTTTACTTTTTTTTTTTGCTGCTATATAATATGATCTATCCTTATATGTATATATAACATTATGACTTTCCTAAATAATCTAAAAGATGATTTTAGTAATGATCAACTTTATAGTAACACTGATCCTAATAATGAAGTTATAAGTGAACTAGTTGATACAGATGTTGAAGAACTTAAGAATCAAGATAATATATCTGAATTAAAGACTGAACTTATCTTTACAGGATAGATAGAGTTTAAGGCCTGGCTTGATAATTTTGCCAAAGCAGAAGGATTCAGCTATAGAATTAGGACTAGTCAAATAAATAAAAAAATAATCTATTATGCTACTTATAAATATTTGAAATCAGGCACAACCCACACGTGACTTCTGACCCGACTAAGAGGCAAAATGTACGTCATAACGGATAGAATGCTAATGGTGGCTTAATATTACTTTTTTAAAATCAAGTAATATTTTAAAGATCAACTCATTCAAAAATGAGCATAACCATGATCTCACCCCAACTATAAGTGAAACAGCCCCATGTTTTAGGAGATTAATATCAGAAATGCTATCTGATATAAAAAAATATATAGTACAAGATCGTATGGACTCAGGATCTATTTATCTGTTACTCCAACATGATTATCCAAGCTATCCTATTTTTAGAAGAGACTTATATAATGCTGTATATTAGTTTAAGACTGAAAATAATTTTAGTAATTCAGATGTATCTCAAATGCTTCAAAAACTATTAAGTTAGAAAGAATCAGAACCTCTGTGGATTGTAAAACTACATTTGGATCCTTTATCTCAGAGGTTAAATAGATTGTTGTAGATGTCACCTATACAAAGATCATTATATGAAAATTTCTATAATGTTATAATTTTAGATACCACATCCAATACAAATCAATTTCAAATGATACTGTGTATCATTATTGTTATCGATAACTATTTCAAATCTAGGATTGTTGCTTCTGCTATAATAGATGATGAAACCCTTGATACCTTTCGTTAAATTTTTACTACAATATTTGAAGAAACAAGTATTAACCCTAAAGTTATATTTACTGACTCTGACCCATCTTTAATTAGTGTAATCAAAAAAATACATCCTGGTACGAGCTATCTATTATGTATCTTTCATATTGATTTGAATCTTTGTAAGAAATTTACAAGTAAATTAGGATTTCAATTTAGAGAATTTCAACATAAGTTTTATGTTTGTCGAAATTCTTTATGTACCAAATTGTTTGAAGATCAATGGCTTCATTTGATTAACCAATACCCTGTTGTTGCAACGTACATGTCAGAAACACTTTATCCAAATAAAGAATCATGGGGCATCCTCTAGATATATAACCAATTTACGGCTGGTGCTCAAAGCACTCAAAAAATAAAATTGATCAACAAGCAATTATATGATAAGGTTAATCGGTCAACCTCTTTATGTGATTTGTTAGTAAATATTAGTGATTATATTAAAGGCAAAGAGCAATTCAAAAAATTTGAAATCAAACATAGTGTATTACTGACAGTTAAGTTACCAACTTTAAATACTAGACTTTTTGGTCAAGTTGATGATATAATCAAATAGTTTTTGACACCTATTATGTTGAGAAAACAGAGATTGCAGATGAATCAATCAGTGTGCTATGATATTAATCATATTGTGGAATAGCAACAATTGGTAAAATTTTTTTTATTTATTTTATTTTTTTAAACTTAATATCTGGGTAGATGTAGCTTGTGTTTAATATCATATTTATTTGTAGGTGAATAGCAATAATGAAGTGATTAATATTGAACCTAGAGAACAGGACCAAGACATTTAACAAATTCTTTTTAATTCTTTAATTAGAGATATTAATCATGAAATGATTTTGGAAGTGTGGAGTATTCACGCTACTGGGATAGCAAGCATCAGACATTATGTAATTTTGTTAAATGATAGCACACATTTGTGCACCTGCCTTTTATTACTAAACAAAGGCTTAATATGCCAACATTTTTTCCATGTTGCAACCTATTCACAAGTAGCTACTTTTCATATTGCTATTATTCCAAGCAGGTGATATTGTGAACCTAATGTAAATCAGGAAAATCTTCTACAACAAATCCTAGCTATTAAAGTATGCACTACAACAAGATCAGAAGGGGAGTTGCCTAATGCTATATTCAGGTATTCTAATGTTACATTTGAGTACTTGTTCGCTACTCGATCTATTTCCTATTCAACACCAAAGCTAAACAAAACTGTATATGCTGAATTGTTTGGATTATCAAAGAAGGTTATTGATTTGGCTATTAAAGTCAATAAGTCACAAGAACTATTGGATATTCTTAAATCATTCTTTTATGATATACAAAACAATATCAATGAAAATAAAATAAATGATTATCATGATATTAATAATTTACAAATTACTAAGCACAAAGGTTAGCCACTAAAGAAATTGAAGTCTGCTAATGAATTTGCGACTTTTAAGAGTAAACATGTATTAAAAAACACAAACATCAATACAGCAAACAACAATGAAAATTCAAATATAATAGAAAATGATGATAGTGGTGATATTGTTAATATGAAAAGTCGTATGTGTAGGAAATGTAAAAAATACGGTCATTATTCTAAAACTTGTCAGGCATCAATTTAAAGTTTTTTGTTTATAAGCTTAGGATTTTAGAGTTAGTTTTTTTTTCCTTGATTATTCGCAAGCGTCAGGCTAGTACAAGCATGCATATGTAGTATTTAGCTCAATGATATATATCAATGTAAAAGGCAAATATGAATATCATGCATTTTATTGAATATCTAAGAATTTTATATTAGAACACTTGAGTGCTTTATGTCGATTATACTTAGTTATGCATTTCATTTTAGTTAAGTATCTTATTCAATAGTTTTTTGGTTTACTTGTACGTGTCATTAAAATACTAACTAACTTGTTATTATATCCAAGAAATTGGGTTTCGCTATACAAATTATTTTAAGTTACTTAGCTATCTTGAACCTATCATTTGTTAATATAAATCATTAGGTTTAACCAATATATATATATCATTTAAAGTATTAGGTCAGTTTTTGGTTTACTTAATGATCTGTAAGCAAGTTTAGAGTACAGTGTATAAATTTCGTTTATTTTAAGGTTTGTATTAGTAATAGATAGAGTTAGAAAAATGCTATAGATAGTAGTCTTTAAAACCATCGTATCGTTATTAAATTTAGTCTATTTTAGAGATACTTATAAGAGTAAAATTTTCCCAGCATAGTTAACAAAAAATCTCAGATACGTGATATTGACAATGCGTTTATAAGATTAGACATTTGTATAATATAGTAGTAAAATCGTTCCAGAAAACTTTTTGCTAGAGTATCAAAGACGGTTTTTTATGCAATTTTTGAGTTACGAGTGATTTTTGATTAAACAAACGTTTTCTTTAAAATTTTTCTGATCAAGCTACATTATACCAAATAATTAGCTATTATTGTCAATCATCACGTGCTCTAAATATCGGCTATAGAGAGATTAAGTAATATATAATTATGTGATAGTGTGTATATATACATAGTGTACAAATAAAAATCGTTTTTAATTAATTTGGTCAAATAATTTCAAATATTTGATTCAAATTCAGATTTGATTGTGCAGAGCACTACCCTTTCTCTACTAATAAATCACTAAATTTATAAATAGTACCTGGTACTATTCAATTTTAAAAATGATATTTTTAAATAAAATCTCAGATATTATAAGTAGTAGCTAATGGTAATTTTGTATAACTATATATATATATGGTAGCACTAAATCACACCACTGGTATTCAATATCAATATGCAGTGTAGTATAAAGATTATCATCAAAACAAATAAACAATGAATTAAAAAAAATTAAAATTTAATTAATATTAAGATTAGGGCTA